AGATCTGAAGTTTGGCCCAGAGGACCAAAAGAAAGATGGAAGATTATTACCATGTGTCAGTGGGTGGATCCACAATATCACTGCTTTGCAAAGTCTTGTGGCAGACATTGTGAACGTAGAGGGAGTCGATTACTTAATCACAAATCGGTGCAATCAAGATACACTTGAAAATCTGTTCTCAGTCATCAGAGGAAAAGGTGGACATCATGACAATCCAGATCCCCAGCAATTCCGTTTTCGTTTGAGACAGATAATGGTGGACAAAATTATGATTGGATCGCCTTCAAACAATTGCAGGGACGATGTGGATAGCTTTTTGATTAATCTATCAAGTAAATGTAGCCAAACAGCAATTGCAATTTCGGCAGACCTTGATAATGAACAGAGGCACATTGTTAATTTAGTTAAGTCTTGCAATATTAAAGACGTAATGCACTTAGAAAATGCAATTTCCTACGTGAGTGGATACATTTTAAAGAAACTTTACGATGTGGTCTGAAAGGACTGCATAGGGAAATTAGAAGATTCCTCATCTTCCCATGCACCGCATCTGACACTCATCACTCAGAAACAGTTTGAACATTGTCGTCACGGTGGCTTGAAAAGTCCCAGTTTCAATCTTGTGGAAATTGTTGGTTTGTTTGAGGCTGTCTTTCAAACACATTTTAAACATTTGATGAACAGAGCTCACATTAGACAGAATCTGAAATTGAAAATGCTCCAGGAGCCAAATGTAACTGAAATCAAAGGTGATTCCTGCAAATGCCAGACAATGGACTATGCAGTCAATGTATTTATTAGGGTCAGACTGCATCATGAACTTAATACAAGAAATGAAGCCATTCAGCAGGAAAAGAACATGAAGAACGGAAAGTTTATTAAAGTTTCTCACCAATAGCATTTCATGCTACAAGTGATAGCTTTGGCTGTGCCTGATTATGATAAAGTGATAAAGGTATGTTGTGAATATTATTTGCCTGTTTCAAACATGCTGTGTTATTTGTTTGCTTTCTTGTTTTTGGTTTGTTGTTGTTGTTTTTGGTGGTTTTTTTTTATTTATTCTTTTAACACTACTACCTATTGTACTAACGGCATTCAGAGCACACTCTAGACCTTAGTTAAGATCAAATGTTGCATGAACTTTAATATTATATTATTATTATGTTTATGATCTTTGCCTTCCGTTTTGATAATAATTCTTTAACCCAGTTCTTACAGATAATAGTTTATTATGCAGGACATGTCTTGTGCTACTAATATAAATGTATCAGTTAATCCCCTACAACTAGTCACTTGTAATAGGACCAACTGGTCACCCCCACCACTCGTGTTATAGTAACACTTCGTGTGTTGTATGAGCTCATTAATGCGCAGAGCAACGCGCGCAGTCGCTGACCTCGATTCTCCGATAGCGAACAAAGGCCGAAGAAGGATTGCACCGTCTCGGTATTTACAAATTACAGTCTTTGGACTTAGCCACTGATGTGTCTAGACCTACCTTCTCTGCTTCCAATTTTCAGCCAATTTTTAGTTTCCTCAAGACCTTATCTGCCTATTTAATACCTGCCCCCTCATTGATAAAGATACCCCTCCTCCCCCAATGTTTCCGACATTTTCACCGTCTTAGTTGTAAAAATACGAGATCTAAAGTCTAGAACTAGGCCTAGAATCTAATCTAGATCTACTTTTCGATCTATGTCGCTTTGCCTTTCCTGAAACAGGGCTGTAAATATGAAGCTTAATTTACCCCTCGCCGTTGAAACTTCTGATGGCCGAGTGATCAGCCTGTCGGCCTTTGAAGACAAACCATTATTTTGTGAGCGTGGGTTCGAATCCCAGTTCCGGAAGTTTTTTTTCTTTTTTCTTCTCATCCTCCCAACTTACCAACAATTTTTCCCATAATTATAATTTGTTGCTTTTTAGTTTTTTTTAAAGGGGTAAATAAATAAATAAATCGCCTGTGTTGTCTGTTCTCGTAATCATAAAACACTGGGCTAAACATAGGTTTAGCTGGTCCGACCCAAGAGTCTTAATCCGTGTTGGGTCCGATGTCGGTGGACGCGGATCTTTTTGAGTCGGTTCTACACCATGAAAAAACTTCGTACATTAGCCTGGCCTGGAAGTGATCTTATTTTGACTGTTGAAACAAGAGTTACAATAATAATAATAACATTAATTTGTCTGTTAATGTCTGACCAGGATCAATGTATAAAAGCAGAGGAGAATATTTCTTAAAGATAAAAAAGGATTAATTATGATTTTGCTAAAGCCAGTGAAACCATTCTGGCAGGAAAACGTTCATCGTTAATGGAGCATTCTAAAAGCTTTGTTACCTGTTGTGGATGTGCACATTGTGCGGGCTTCTCTTTTGCTTCAGTAATTCTAGTTTGGAAGCTTCTTAAAACTAGAATAAGAAAGGATAAACAAGACAACAATGTTGTTCACAAGTTGTAAACAACTCTTTTTATAATATCAGCTGTAGCATCGGGTGGGTTGTAAAGAGGGTGAGACCTGCCGTGACCAAACGTTTAATAAAGATAATCTCGCTGTTAGAAAAACAATGGCGAGCTTCCTCTTAAAAGCGATATTGTTCCAGCTTTTAAAATCAGTAGAAACCACCCACTGGGTAAAAAAAAATCTTTATTAAGGAATTTTCTAGATAGAGCTAACAGGTGTTTACTCTTAAATTGATAAAAGTCACTGTGCAAAATCTGGAGAGTTTATGTTCGTTAGTTGAGGAGATATTTGGCAATAAGTTGTGCCACGAATTTTTGACCGCCCTGAAGCTGGATGAATGCCTCGAATTTCAAGCAAAGTCACGTGTTAAGACTTTTCTCGCCTTTCAAACTGATCCTTCTAACTGGTGGTACATCCAAGAAAATGGAAATGATGATAAGATTATTTCAGCTGCTCTATCCTATTATTCTTTTTGTGTGTCTGAATTTCCCCAAGCATCTATTTGTTTAGTCTATGTCCAGTTACAGTTATTATGTTCCTGATAGAATGTCAAGCTGAACAGAGTTATTGTTCCCGGTGAACACCGGCAAAATTCAGTTCATACAATAGTAGTTTTTTTTTCTTCTGGAAACCAGTATTTTCCTCATTCTAAGTGATTTTTTTTAGGTTGAGTAAAAAAGGCTAGAATATTACTTTTTATTTAAGAATGAAAACACTTAATAAAACACTTTATAAAACACTTAATCCGGAATCAGATGAAGCAGCACTTTATGAAGAGAATTAGTGTAGAAATTGACATACTTCGAATTTATTATATTAAGCTGTCATTAAATGTCTAAAAATATCGCCCCCTTCCGCCCATCAGGTTCATTTAATGAAGTTTCACTAGATCTATAGGCAGAAGTTGTTTGAATGGTTGGGAGGTTTAACAAATCAATGATCAGTAAATATCAACACGTGTCAGCTAAGGGGAAAAAAGGGGACCAAACAGGAATTTCTCCATTCTCTCCCTTGTTCCACCACAGCCAATAAAGGTTGCGAACAGAACCAACAGCCAGCAGCAGACGGCGTGAAGACTTTTGGCGCCGCACCGAACTCCATCTGGAAGATCCACGTAGTTATAATCGTAGTAGTAGTAGTCCCAACCTTCACACGGGTCTGTGACGTTGGGCGGAACCTGTGGGCCGTTACACAAATCTGTTTGGCAGAAAGTGTAGCAAGCGAGTGTCACCACACGGGCGCATGTTGTTTCGTTCACTGCTGACAGGTTTTTGAAACGGTCACTGTCGAACTGCGTGCTAAAAAACTTCCCGTCGTGACATCCTCTGTGGAAGTGTGTGATCCGCCCTAAAATTGTAAAAGTAGGACAAGAAAAGAAAACATTTTTAGATACCACAAAGACAACCCCACAAAGTGCAAGAGAGAAACACGTAGAATGCCATTACTAGCTTTAGAAAGGTGCCTTAAACACATTTCCCCCTCTTGACTCGATCTTATCCGATATGTACGTAAAATTCAGAGTTCCCGTCTCTTAAATAACCTTACGGTGTTGCAAGGGGCATTGAAAGAAAACATTTCACACCTTGTGGGACATTTACTCCCTTTTTGACAAAACCGTGGCGTTATGGTAAGGCTCTTGTTCTTTTTTTTTAAGTTTCAGTAATAGTTTTGCGGCGCTCGCAACTGCATAATAAGTTCATATGAAAAAAAGTTGGTTCCATTCGCACAGCTTCTGATCGACACTTCTACTAAAATGCTAAATGGCAAAAATTTGATGTAAATACATTCTAAATGTGAATTAACTAGATTCTATTTTAAATAAAATTTAAAATTTTAAAGCTAATTACACGTTTCCATAAAAGCCGATGACCTTCATAAAATCAAGGATTCTGCTGGGATCAACGACGGAAAACAGATCTTCCATTTTTTGGCATCTAAAATATTTCCTTCCGGTCTCTCCGTAGTCTAGACATTCTGTTAAAATGTGTCTAACGGTAAAATCTGTGTCGCACAAAACGGTTTTTCATCTCCCTGAAGGAGGTATTTATGTGTCACGGAAGTGAGTCCAATGCGTAATCGAGTAAAAATGACTTCGTCTCTTCTGGAGAGGCCCGAAGGTTTTCGCGGACCCAGATTGGGTTTAATGTTGTGTAGCTTATTGTTTTCTTGTTTTTTTCAATGAGTCTCCCACAGCCTGGAGGTGTAGTTTTTGACTTTTTTAACGTCAGTCTGTGGGAGAGTATTCGTCGTTGATCCCAACAAAAGGGACAAGGATTCTTTCGCTAGGAGATCCACTTGCTCGTTTCATCGGATGCCCACGTGGCTAGGTAGCCATGCGAACACGATACTTTTCCAGGTTTCAGGCAAAGCGGGGTTTATTTTTTGCAACCTAACTATTTTTGGGTGTAAGCATGTGTAGTTTGTAAGTGAGGTGATGCAAGACAGAGAGTCAGATAGGATAAAGAAAGATTTGTTAGGAGCATTTTCTACGGAGTCCAGTGCCATGTCAATGGCAGTGGCGTCCGCAGAGAAAATGGAGGATTCGGGAGGGAGTCTCCACTGTTGTATACTGTTTGAGGATAGCCCACAGCGGAGTCCGATTTAGAGCCATCTGTGAAGATTAGCTCCGCACCGAGGTATTTTTCTATAAGTTTTTGTATTCTGTTTTAAATGTTTTGGCATTTATGCTTGTTTTTGTGTGTGTGGTCTGCTGTAAGTCTATTTTTGCCTTGGTGGGGTGCCACGGAGGGAGTTCGGGGAAAAGAAATTGTTAGATGTCTTGCTTTGAAAATTGTGTTTTTTAAGGCCCCCAAGGACTCTGAGGCCGAAGGGTTTAATGAGTTTTTCGTTGTTTTGGAATTTGTCTATGGGGTCTGGGTTTGTTTTGAAAATACAGTCGTGTGCTGGGTTCTCTGGTGTTGAGCTTTGTTTAATTATTGCGTATTGAGAGTTGTGTGCGTCTTAGAGTGAATGATGGTACTCGTATGTTTGCCTCGGCCTGGAGGCTCTCAACTGGAGAAGTGCAGAAAGCCCCCTGGGCAAGATGGAGTCCTTGGTTTTGTACTGGGACTAACATCTTTAGAACGTGGGGTTTTGCTGATTCATAGACCTGACAGCCGTAGTCAAGCCTGGATCGGACAAGGAAAAACTCAGGTGGAGAAGGTGTTTAGAGTCCCCTTCCCACCCCGGATGCGATACAAATTTCAAAGCTTTTAACGTTTTCCGGCACCTCACACGAAGGTCTTGTATGTGTGGTATGAATGTGAGTTTCTTGTTAAATATAATGCCGAGGAAATAAGCCTGGTCCCTGACGAGAATCCTTTCCCTGTATAGTGTCAAATCCGGTTGCAGTACACGTCTGCCTGATCGGTAGAAGTGTACTACAACCGTGTTTGACGGCGAAAACTTGAAACCTTTATTATTTGCCCACTCTTCTAGTTTATGCATCTGCGTTAGCAGCTGCCTTTCCATAGATCTTAGGTTTTTCGAACGGCAGCATATCAAGAAGTGGTCAAGGTATAACGAGCGTCTATGCTATTTTGGAGGGTTTTAACGATGGAATCTATTTTGGTTTCGAATAGGAGAGGAGAAAGGATGCTCCCCAGGGGGTCACCTTCCTCCTGTTGTTTTGATCGAAAAGGGAGGTCTGACACGAACCTGGAAGGAACGGTTCTTCAGGAAATTGCCAATGAAGGCAGGGAGGTGACCGTGAATGCCGAGAGCGTGCAGGTCTTTGAGAATGCGTACTTCCAGGTTGTGTCGAAGTTTTTTTCTAGGTAAAAAAAGATGGCCATCATATGGCCTCCTTCGGCAAAGGGACTCGCGTATAAAGGTCTGCAGACGGATCGTGTGATCCAGAGTGGATCGTGCTTTCCTGAATCCGCACGGAGACCACTCCGCGTGCTCGTCGTCTCCAGAAACCACATGAGTCGACTTTTAATATTTTTTTCTATACATTTGCACAGACAGCTCGTTAGTGCTATAGGCCTGTAATTGGATGGGTGTGTGTGGTCTTTGTTAGGCTTGGGTTTTCGAATGACAGTGGCGAGACGCCAAGACTCGGAAAGGAGTGCGACCGCCACATGTCGCTGTATATGTCCCGTAGGAGTGTAAGTGTTTCTTTTGGAAAATGTCTAAAGACCTGGTTGTAGATGTCATCCAGACCAAAGGCTGTGTTGCCCAGGTCCGAGATGCACGATGTTAGTTAGTCTAATGTGAAGTCTGTGCTGTAGGTTTCAGTGTTGGAAGTTCAGGTGTTGTTGTTCTCTGTTAGTTTTGATGTTTTGGAAGGTGGTGTTGTAATTTGCTTTGGGTGACTTCTTGGAGAGAGATGTAGCTATTGTGTTTGCGATGTCTACCTGTGTTTCGGCTGTGGTTCCATCCGGCCTCTGAACGGTGTCTATGCGTCCACCCAAATTTTGTAAAACCAATTTTAAAAACTTGATTGAGTAGTGTCTGATTTTTGATTTTGGAGATGCATTTTCTGAACGACTGTAATTTGCTCTCAATGAGGCATCTACGTGCCTAAGCTCAAGCCTTTAAGTAATTAATATTTTGTTTTCTGTGGTGGTGTTGTCGACGGCTCTTCGATATGCTGCTTTCTTTTTCTTTACTGCATCATCACATTCCCCAGAGAACCAGATACTTGTTCTTCCGTGGTTTTGGAGATGTTTTTGGTATGTGTTTGCGGCACATTCTAGAGGTCGAAAGTAGGATTCAGAATCTAGGAACATTAAATAGCGAACCCGCCCCAGTGTGCTTTTTTGAAGTTGAAGCGTTTTGTGATCGGGCCGTTTTGGAGGCTATCGTTTTTAAGAAAAATTGGGAAATGGTCCGTACGGTCATCCAGCACAGACCACTCAAGGTCTGGGACTAGGTCAGGGGTACAAAAGATGAGGTCTAGGGATGAAGTGCTAAAAGTGGATTAGTCTCTGTAAGTGGGGGAAATATCATTTAAGAGGCAGATGTTATAATGAAATGAAAAATCTTCTATTATTTTTTCCTTTCTGGTCTGTAGGTTTGTCTTCCCAAAAAAGAGGGCTGTGGGCATTAAAGTAAGGGCTTTGGGACCTGAAGCTTTAAATTGTTAAGTTGAGTTATTTTGAGGGGGTAATTTGGTGGGATATAGACAGTGCATATCGCGATTGGTCTGTGCAGGGTGACCAGTACGACAATAGCTTGGAGGGTCATCCTAAGGTGTATTTGTCTGTGAAGTGTGTGGTTGTCGGTGTAGATGGCGGTTCCACCGGAAGCAATCTGGTTCTCCTTGTGAATGTGATGATAAGCAGTAGATCCTCTTAAGTCTATGGTTGAAGCCGGGGCAAACTTTGTTTCCTATATACAGGCCAAGAGTTGGCACCGTGTGGCCTGTAAGTGTTGTAATTCTGCAATGGAAGGTCGGAGTCCGCCCGCATTCCATTGCAAGACCGCCATTATGAAGGATTTTAAAAATATTTTGGAGCACGCAGGCCCGTCTTCGAAGAAACACTCTGACTCCTCCTATACGGGGAAGGCAGAGGATTTTTTAACGCTGCTGTCCTCGATTGGACGGCGGCCCAATGGGGGATGTGGAGGAGTGCCCGGGGTGGGGTGGGGGTCGGAACTGTCTTCGTCCATAGGTAGGGGGGGTTGTCTGCTGGAGGGGTAGGGGAAGGTGGAGCAAATGGAGGGGGCTGGGAAGGGGAGGGGGAGGGGACACCTCACACTCCATAGGGGGGATGGGGCGTGAGGTGGAAGAAGAAGGGATAGAAGAGGGAGGGGGGGGGGAAGAAAAGCGGGCGGAGGCAGAGTCCATCCCTAGAACACCGAAGCGGTTAGAAAGTAGCACCTCAAATGCCAGAAGGGTAGGAGAGACCCTTTTTAAAACTTTTTTTTACAGAGGCTCACTTGTTGACCGCGGGCAGTGGGAAGTCGGCAGTAGATGTACTGGCCGACTTCATGATTAGCCGGAGTACTGTTGCATATGTCCGGCCAAAGACCGGGATCACGATAGGCGGGCAGACAGTTTTGTGGGCTTCTTGGAAAGAACAACCATTTTGCGCTTCGTGCTCTTGGATTGCGCGTTCTTGGATCAAAGTCGGACAATCCTTGCTGAAGGCTAAGTGCTGACCCTGGCATTTTGGGCAGCAAGGACTAGCTTTGTATTCCTTCTCAGGATGCCCAGTCTTGCCAACTCGAGGACACACAGCTGCACGTCGGCATCGCTACTGACTATGGCCAAACTTCTGACACTGAAAACAGTGCATAGGGTTTGGCACATAGGGTCGCACGTCCAGGACCAAGTATTATACCCGAACGGTGGCTGGAGGGCTGCACAAATCGAAAGTTAGAATTATCGTATTCGTTTC